GGTGGAGTTTCCAGTGTGTCAGAGGAAGCAGCTCCAGCAGCAGAGAAAGGAGGGGGGTCAGAGCAAGCCGCCCTACCGGAAGGGGAGGGGAGCAGTGAAGGGAGTAGTGTAACTGTCAAAAGGAAAGTTAGAGGTTTGGCGTGCGCGCCTAGTTCAAATGTAGAGGCGCGCGGAAGTGCAGGGAGCCCGGAGGAGGGGCCAGGTCCCAAAGCCCGCAGGAGGGGGGAAGAGCAGTCTGGGGATTCAGCGTCAGAGGAATCCAGAAGGGGCGCAACCCCAGGGGGCAGAAAGACCCTGCGGAAAAGGAAGGAGAGAAAGAGGTGGAGCAGCGCAAGTCTCTTAAATTGGTGCAGAGGAGGTACTGACTCAGAGGGGACTTCGGCGGTCTAGCGTAAGAGACGTAAGGCTGCGCGCCTAGGATGTCAAGCAAACCATGAACTGCAATAAACACCTTTGTATTCAAGAAGACGTAGGCGTTGGTCTTTTGTGAGCTAAGACTTGAGGCAGCCTTGACACCACTCCATTCATATCTCCCATCAGAATCATGTTGTAATCCATATGGTCCATCAGGGTCTCATGCAACTTCTTAAAAAAATCAGATTTCCCGTCATTTGGTGCGTAAACTCCTACAATCAAAAATTATTCTCCTTGTGTTTGAATTTCAATTGCCACAAATCTTCCTTGGTCATCTTTAAAAACAAATTTTGGTGATAAATTGTCTTTTGCGTAGATCACAACCCCTCTCTTTTTAACTTTATCCGACGAAATAAATTCCTGACCAAGTCTTTTATTTATCAACAATTTCCTGTGTAATCTTGTTATATGTGTTTCTTGTAAACAAATTAAGTCCAATTGTTCCTTTTTTAATATATGAAATACTGACTTCCTTTTCTGAGGGAATTCAAACCCCGACAGTTCCATGTTAAAAGTTGCAGGGCCATGATGTTATTGTTTTAGTTCTCCTCCTACTGCACCTAGTGCCTGTTCCTCATCCGTCGGTGGTGTCCCTTCTTTCGAACGGTCTTTTGGTTCCGGAAATAGTTCTTTTTGTAGGTCTTCTCCGTGGTCTCTGCAAAATTTGTCTTTGTCGTCTTCCGATCTTATTTTCCTCTTCTTTCCTTTGTAGCTAAAAGACAGGCCTTGAGGGAGTTCCCACCTAAAGTTGATATTGTTCCTTCTCAGCAGGGTAACCAAGTCTTTGTATTTTGATCTGAGATCCAGAAGGTATTTCAGAATATCTTTGAATATTTCCACCCTTGTCCGATGGATTTCCAGTGTCTTCTTGAAATGTAGGCCCAAAATCTTATCCCTCTCTTCTTTTGTTAGAAAAGTAATCAGGCAGTCTCTCACCTTCTTCTCTCCTCTTCTCCCGAGTCTGAAAGCATTTACTATTCTGAAGCTGTCTTTTGCCAATTCTGGATCCCAAAAGTCCAAAAATTCCTGCGTGAGAAATTCAGCTAGATTGTCCTTTTCCACCTCAGGTACCGATCTGACCCGCAGATTCACTTGCTTTTCCTTCAAATCTATCATAGACAGGGTTAATTTATGTTCTTCCAGTTGTTTATGCAGTGTTGGTAATTCCTCTTGAACCTCTTTAACTTCAGTAGCAGAAGTTGTAGCAATTTCTTTAGCCTCTTCAGCAATCTGGCGTGTTGAGGCCGATTCCTCTAATAATTTCTGAATAGTCTCTGTGTTAGTATTTACTTTCTGGCCCAAATTATTTATACTTGCAGTATTTTGATCAATCTTGTCACATGCCTCTGCTACTTGTTGGCTTATTCTATTTAAAGATTCATTAACTTTGGCCAAAACTTGAGCAAAGGTATCATCACTTGTCGTACTTTTTACCTTTAATTGTGCCGATGAGGCTGTTGTTGAGGTTCCAGAAGGGCCTGAGGCCGAAAATCTCCTTTGTAATCCTTCTTCTGTGCGAATAGTCCTCCCCGACCTTGTAGTCGATGCATCCGCTTTCTCTTTACCATCTGCCATTCCTTAGATAATGCTCAAGGTCAGCCACGTAGTTAAAATTAAACAGTGGAAATTTCCAATCAAGCAGTGTGAGAACTCCTCAAGCCTGCTACAGTTTCAATTATAACAAGTTGTAACAGTTCCAAATTCCACTAGGGGGACACTGTAACAGTCATAAAAGTTCTTGGATACTTTAGTTTCTTTTTTAAGCCCCTCTAGTTTATTCAGGAAGAAAACAGTCTATTCACAGTTTTTAACTTAGGACCAGGAGATATATATTCACATAATTTGTCCAAACTTTTATTTCCTGTGCAGGACTAGCTGTCAAAATATATTGCAAGACAGTACCTCTCTTTCTTTCCTAAGTTACCTCTGGAGATCCTTTCCCAGGGAATTGAATGATGGTTTAAACCCTTCTTTTCCACTTCTTTATGAAGAAATCACATCCACAATTTTCCCGTTTTCCCTCAGTTTAAGTAGGGAAAAATCCAGGTTGGATAGTTGGATTAAAGTCCACTATACGTGCTTTTCCAATGCTTCCGCTTTCAAGTTCAAAGCTTTATTTTATCTACAAGGAAAGAGGCAGACTTCCTTTTATACCTCTTTCCGTTTTCGGCCAAATTTCAATTTGTACAGTTCCAATTAGATTATATCCTACTCACGGATCGTTGGTTTTCAAGTCCGAATTTCGAGGAAAAAAGGCAGCGCTTGCGGCTTCACACCACGAAGAGGCAAAGAGGACATTTTGCGGTCAACAGCTTGCGGCTTCACACCACGAACAAGCAGACAGCCCACAGCACAGCGCTCTCCCCCGCTCCGATTTCGAGCCCATTGCCGGGCTTTTTACCGGGTTGGGGGGGGGCGCCGAATGTGCCCGCTGGGTCCCAGGCTCACAGGCTTCCCCCGCCTGTGATTTTTGAGGGTCCCCCGCTGCGCCGAAGCGGGATCCGACCCCTTTTTTCGTGGCGCTGATTTCCTCTAGTCGAGGAAATCCGCCATCGACCGCTGGCGCCGCCTCCGGAAGTCCAGTCTTCCACACATTTAATTGCTTGTCAGGGCAAAGAGTATCTTAGGCGTTCCCTCACTAGCGAGTGCCTCCAGAAGACACACCTTCAGGCCCATAAGTGGAAAAGATGCATCTCAGTGGTATTGTTGCTGTTGCTTAGTCGTTTAGTCGTGTCCGCTTCTTCGTGACCCCCTGGACCAGAGCACGCCAGGCACTCCTGTCTTCCACTGCTTCCTGCAGTTTGGTCAAACTCATGCTGGTAGCTTCGAAAACACTGTCCCACCATCTCATCCTCCGTCGTCCCCTTCTCCTTGTGCCCTCTATCTTTCCCAACATCAGGGTCTTTTCCAGGGAGTCTTCTCTTCTCATGAGGTGGCCAAAGTCTTGGAGCCTCAGCTTCAGGATCTGTCCTTCCAGTGAGCATTCAGGGCTGATTTCCTTCAGAATGGAGAGGTTTGATCTTCTTGCAGTCCATGGGACTCTCCAGAGTCTCCTCCAGCACCATAATTCAAAAGCATCAATTCTTCATGGATCACTGGCTTGTCATGGTGAAGGGGCTTGAATAACTCAGAGAAGCTATGAGCTATGCCGTGCAGGGCCACCCAAGATGGACAGGTCATAGTGGAGAGTTTTGACCAAACGTGATCCACCTGGAGCAGGAACCGGCAAGCACTCCAGTATCCCTGCCATGAAAACTCCATGGACAAAGATAAAGACAACAGTGGTATAGTGTCTGCTTTTCATGAAGAAGGCCCTGAGTTCAACTCTCTGAGTCTCCAGGTAGGACTGGGGAAAACTCCCTGGACAGCTGCTGCCAGCCAGTGTGGGTGACACTGAGGTAGATGAACACAACATCACGCAGCTTCCTTGTGTCCATAAAAGTTTCTTTGCGTGGTGGCCCCCAAGTGAATTGGTCATGTTGTTCGGATGCCCGATTATTGTCTTCCAAAGCAACTATAGTCGTACCTCAAAAGTCGAACAGAATCCGTTCTGGAAGTCTGGAAATGTTTGAAAACCAAAGTGCAGCTTCTGATTGGCTGCAGGAAGCTCCTGCAGCCAATCGGAAGCCACAGAAGCCCCGTCGGATGTTGGGCTCCCAAAAGAACGTTCAAAAACTGGAACACTCACTTCCAGGTTTTGATTGTTTGGGAGCTGGAACGTTTGACTCCCAAGGCATTTGGGAGCTAAGATACAACCGTACTCTGCTCTGAACTTAAAAATGGAAAGCGTAATGCTGGTGGTCAACAAAAGAGGTACAAAGACTCTCTCAAGGCAAATCTAAAAAAATGTGGTATAAACACTGACAGCTGGGAATCACTGGTCTGCGAGCGCTCCAGTTGGAGAACAGCCTTTACCAAAAGTGTCATGGACTTTGAAGATGTTTGAACTCAGGATGCAAGGGAGAAATGTGCTAAAAGGAAGGCATGCTTGGCAAATCCACACCATGATCGTATCCCGCCCGGAAACCAATGTCCCCACCGTGGAAGGACATGTGGATCCAGAACTGGCCTCCACAGTCACCTACAGACTCACTGTTAAAACTGTTTATGGAAGACAATCTTACTCGGCTACGAGGGATAGAAGAAGAAGAAGAAGAAGAAGAAGAAGAAGAAGAAGAAGAAGAAGAAGAAGAAGAAGAAGAAGAAGTGCACATATGAAATCAAACACACAAAATGCTACACTGGTTTTTCTTCTCTGGCTACGTTGGACTCAATAAAACCCAGGCAGGATTTTAGATTTGGTCTCTCCACTCTTTTTCCCCGTTTTAAATGCATTGTCTCACTTGTGGCATTGTTGATTAAAAATCATGTGCTTTATTGCCTCTGGTTTGCTGTAACTCTCTGTTCCTGTCCTCATTAGGTGCTTGTTTTAAGACAGTTGGCTACAGAAAGGCAATATATTTGGATCCCCCGGCCAAAAAAGAAAGAAAAAAGTCAATAAATAACCATCTGTAGTGTTAATAACTCACCTGGTGAATTTCCTAACACAAAGTTCGATCTGTCGCTTCTATCTCTGGGAGGTTTTCCTGTAATATGAGAGCTCTCTAAGACATGATAAAATGCAAAGTGGCTCAGGAGAAGTCAAAGCATTTTCCCCTTTGCAAGGAAACAAACCATTTGTTTCAGGAGAAATGGAATTATGAATTTGATTCCCGCGGAACAGGGGTGGGGTGAGTAATCTGAGTGATTCCTTCTCTTCTGACTGCCCCATCAACTAGGTTATTAATAGCAAAGAGCTTAGCTTTGCTAATCCTTACATGCTGGATGGTCACCCTCACAAATACAGGAAGTTTCATGTAAAAAGAGAGGATCCTGTTTTCCTTAAAACAATAGCCAGTCACAGGCTAGAGCAACTCCTCTTTATGCCTAGACTCAATGCCCAGACACCCATCACAGACTGCTGGTGATCTTCCAGATCTGGGGTTGGCAAACTAAGGCCTGGGGGCCGGATCAGGGCCAATTGCCTTCAGGATCCGGACCATGGACTGTCCGTGGATCGGTGTGGGGATTCTGATCGTTTGGGCTGCTCCATTTCTCTCCCTCACACGCATCGCGCTGCCGCCTCCTCCCTCCCTCCTCCTGGCTTCTCCCCGCCCTGCCTAGAGGAGGAAGGGGGCTGGGCTGAGCTGGCTGAGCACCATTTTGAGCTGTCCCTCTCCAGATCCAGCCCTTTCGCGCTGCTCATCTTCCCTACTCCTCCTCTACCACCGCCCTGGTGCTCCTGTGGGCCAGAGAGCGGAGCGGACGAGCTCCCTCGGTCTACTCACGAGAAGCAGCAGCAGGGGTGGTGGTGGTTGTGGTGGCAGAGGCAGTACCTGGGAAGGTAAGCGCAGCGGCTGGGGCTGGGGGGGGGACTGCTTGCCCCCCTCGCCTCTTCTTCCAGCTCCCCCGGGTGCTTCTTCTCTCGCCCGCCACAAGGTCCAAGGGACAGTGGACTGGTCAGCAGCTATAAATTTTTGCTGACTCCTGTTCCAGATCCTGCAGTTAAGAACAGAAAAAGAACCTGATGGATCAGGCCAATTGCCCCTTGAGGCCAGCATCCTCTTCTCACAGTGGCCAAGCAGATGCCCATCATGGGAAACCACAAGCAGGATCTGAGCACCAGAGCCCTCTCCCCTCCTGTGGTTTTTGTGGGATGTGAAACACAAAAGCAGTCAAGTACAACATTCCTAGAGTGAACATGTTTACACATGGGGAGGAGTGTTTGTCCAGCCAGCAGGTCAACTTCCTGTTTCCTTCTGGGCTGGGACATGTGACTAGAGGTGGGCGTGGCCTCACCTGTGCAGGTAACGACAAAAGCGCAGGGCAGGGCAGCCATCTCTCTCTCTCTCTGACTACATGCATCAAAGAAGCAACATCTGCTTAGCCAAAGATGCTCTCTTGGCCTCCATCCAAGAGAGGACAAAGGGACTGTCTCCTTATGAGATAGTTTCCAGGTGTATGTTACTTTCTACAATAAGTCTGCCTTCTGGGATCCGATTGTGAACAGAATGTGAGTGAGTAAACTCTTTTTATACTTTTATAGAACACTGTAGTGTCTTATCATTTATGAGGGAATAAGGGGGAAATACCAGAACAGTTAGTACAGAGGCTTTAGCAAGCCTGAGCAAATGCATCCGCTGTGAGTTTAAAAGGGGGAATGTTACTCTGCTAAATTGTGAAGTAGTTAACACAAGTTGGAAAGGCTATAACCAAACAATATATCCTCTCCTGCATCCCTGAACATTCCCACAGTTTTCAGCAACTGGTGTCCAGAAGAATTGCTGCCTCCAACTGTGGAGGCAGAACATACCCATCCTGGCTAGTAGCCATCAATAGCCCTCTCCTCCATGAATTAGAATTGCTTTTCTCATAAATAGACGGGGAATCACAATCTTCCCATCCCCATGCACACACACGTACACAAACATGATAGATATATTTTTGGCACATCGTTATCTGGAAAAAAACAAAACTTCCAATTCTATCCATTCCTAGCTGCATAAGTGACATTCGCTTCCATTTCCCCCCAGTTTTTTTTTTTAATCCATCTGTCTCAAGAGGCAATGGAGCACACCTGCTGTGATAGCTGCACTGAGGTGACCACCCCGGGGCGCAAGCCTGAGCAGTGCGTTGGAGGTCCTGGGCTGGCCAGATGACAAGAGTCCCATTTCAGCCTCACTGATGGGGTCCAAAGGAAAGCAGAGCAAGACATTTGGCACCAGCTGGGCTGCAGGAGCTGCAAGGAGGTGGCACACAAGACACCACCCAACTGTCTTAGGAGCCAGGTTGCAAGAGCCACAATTAGGGATGGGCACCTCCCATGGTGGGCCTTTCCTCCACCCCACTCAATAGCTGGTGAAAGTGTGCATGAGTTGGACTGGAAGCTGGAGATACAGAAGGCTGCTTGCTCTGTGCTGGATCCAAAGTTGTGACAAATGGAGAAACAAGGGTGGAATCTACACACATAAAAAAAAACAACGCTGTGAAAATGCCTTTAAAAAAAAAGTTCTGAAAATATATTGAATTTGCCATAGCTCACCATCACCATCTACTGTCACATTTGTACAATGCACTTTACAACACACTTAAAACTTTTTATTTGCAGCTGTATAGAAGACAGGAGTGCCTGGTGTGCTCTGGTCCATGGGGTCACGAAGAGTTGGAGATGGTGACAGCAGCCACGAAATTAAAAGACTCCTGCTTCTTGGGAGAAAAGCAATGACAAACCTAGACAGCATCTTAAAAAGGAGAGACATCACCTTGCCAACGTAAAAGCTATGGTTTTCCCAGGAGTGATGTATGGAAGTGAGAGCTGGACCATAAAGAAGGCTGATCGCCGAAGAATTGATGCTTTTGAATTCTGGTGCTGGAGGAGACTCTTGAGAGTCCCATGGACTGCAAGAAGATCAAACCTCTTCGTAAGGAAATCAGCCCTGAGTGCTCACTGGAAGGGCAGATCCTGAAGCTGAGGCTCCAAGACTTTGGCCACCTCATGAGAAGAGAAGACTCCCTCGAAAAGACCTTGATGTTGGGAAAGATGGAGTGCACAAGGAGAAGGGGATGACAGAGGATGAGATGGTGGGACAGTGTTTTCGAAGCTACCAGCATGAGTTTGACCAAACTGCGGGAGGCAGTGGAAGACAGGCATGCCTGGCGTGCTCTGGTCCAGGGGGTCACGAAGAGTCGGACACGACTAAACAACAAATGATGATATACTTGCTTGAAGTGTGTTTATTACAGACAGAGAGTGATACCTGTGGGATATTTAAAATGCAATCAAACCAACAGTTCATGTTTTGCTAGAAAGGCATATTAAGGGAGCTCACAGAGTTTCCCTGTAAGTTTGCTAGAGAAGACTCTGTGAGAGACCCACTGTCACAGTCCAGTTCACGGGCGATCAAAGTCCCAGCAGGGGACGTCAGGACTGGGGAAAAGATGGCAGGGTGGGAGCAGGAACAGGGGTCTGGAAGCCAGGAGTCTGAGGGTCAGGAAGTCAGGAGTCACAAAGTCAGGGGTCTGAGGATCAAGAGGCAAGGAGTCACGAAGTCAAGGGTCCGAGGATCAAGAAGCAAGACAGGGAATGTGTTGCTGTGGCAAAGAGCCGAAGGGAAAATACTGACCTTAAATATCCCTTCCTGGCGCTTGCCACCAGGTGCTGTGAGTTACCAATTGGCCTCACCTGTGTGGCCACGCCTTGCCTCTTCAGAACAAACTTAGGAAGGCCCCAGTCCTGCAAAGTCCTATTGGCCACAGGGCCTGGCTCCTGCACGCACACCTGACACCTGCCCACTGTGCCCTGACAGCGGGAGGGCATAGCTATAAGTATTTTCTTAGATCTGCCAAGTCTGAGCTCCAGGGCTCAGACTCCATCTTTAGCTAGACTCCAGATGTAAGAAAGGAAAATCCATTCTGCCTTAAAGCATCCTGGTTTACTTACATTAAAAGGCTAAAACTAACCTATCCGAGCTTTCCTTTTAAGCTGATGAACTCACAAATGTGAGGATGGAAAGATAATATCTAGCAAATATATCCTCTCCTAGCATTTATTCACACCCCAACAGTACTTTTGAAAAATCAATGGCGCATCCCTCTCGACTGGAAGCAGCTCCCCCCCCCCAGCTTTATTCTGCTGAGTGTCTTTCGGGTAAAATCTTGTTCAGCATCTCTTCTCCCTCTCTGGTCACAAGAGGGACCTTCTTTCCCTGATTCTGCATCTTCCACCGATTTTCCCTACACAGGAATTCAGCCGCGAGGTGCTGGCCTCTGTTCTATGAGTCTTGTCAGAATCGGGTTCCCCAGGGCCGTCCCTTTTGACGAATTAGGGTTGCGTTAGGGGCGGGCGAGAGGCACGCTGAATGTTAATGCTCTTGCACAAAACATCCCCATGAAATCTAATGATCTCGCTGTATCTTTTATGGGTCAGAATGCACTTAATGAACTGAACCAGGCAGGTTACCTCTTCTGCTCTCTCTTCTTTCAATGGTTCAGGGGAACAGGTCACAGGAGAGGAGAGGCTTTTTAAATTATAAATTTTATCGTTTAAAATATATGTTACCAGAGTGGATAAAGCACGTACACTTAAAACACAGCTTATTCAAACATACACATCTTTTGCAAGGAGGGTGGGTAAGTGGTATAAAATCTGGGCTCCCAATGCAGCTGAATGATGAAAGCAAGCTCTTCTTACACAGGTAGCACTGTGGTCTAAACCACTGAGCCTCTTGGGCTTGCTGATCGGAAGGTCGGCAGTCCGAATCCCCTAGACGGGGTGAGCTCCCATTGCTCGGTCCCAGCTCCTGCCAACCTAGCAGTTCGAAAGCACGCCAGGGCAAGTAGATAAATGGGTAAGGTAAGGTAAGGAAGGTAAATGGCATTTCTGTGCACTTTGGTTTCCTTCACGGTGTCCCGTTGCACCAGAAGTGGTTCAGTCCTGCTGGCCACATGACCCGGAAAGCTGTCTGTGGACAAATGCCAGCTCACTCGGCCTGAAAGCGAGATGAGTGCCGCAACCCCATAGTCTCCTTTGACTGGACTTAAGACTCCAATACTTTAGCTACCTCATGAGAAGAGAGGACTCCCTGGAAAAGACCCTGATGTTGGGAAAGATGGAGGGCACAAGGAGAAGGGGATGACAGAGAACAAGATGGTTGGATAGTGTTCTCGAAGCTACCAGCATGAGTTTGACTAAACTGTGGGAGGCAGTGGAAGACAGGAGTGCCTGGCGTGCTCTGGTCCAGGGGGTCACGAAGAGTCGGACACGACTAAACGACTAAACAACAACAACAACAACCATCCAGGGGTCCTTTACCCTTTACCTTAAAGCACACACAGTGGTACCTCGGGTTACATACGCTTCATACACTTACATACACTTCAGGTTACAGACTCCGCTAACCCAGAAATAGTAGCTCAGGTTAAGAACTTTGCTTCAGGATGAGAACAGAAATCGGGCTCTGGTGGCGCGGCAGCAGTGGGAGGCCCCATTAGCTAAAGTGGTGCTTCATGTTAACAACAGTTTCAGGTTAAGAACGGACCTCTGGGACGAATTAAGTACATAACCAGAAGTACCACTGTACACTTGAAACGCAGCCTATTCAAACAAGCACATCTTTTGCAAGGAGGGTGGGTCAGTGGTAGAAAATCCAGGCTCCCAATGAAGCTGAATGCTGAAAGCAAGCTCTCCTTATGCACGTGTGCTCCTATGTGGACACACTTTCGGGGTGTCCTGGTTTTTACTTTTTGAAATATGGCAACCCTAGCTTAGTCAATGCATAGCTGATGTGGCTCTTGGTTAGCATTCAGGAATGCGAGAGTCAGCCGCTAACTTAGCCTGAACTATTCCGCTTGCTAAGCACCCGCAGACTTTGCTCTCCAAAGAGCACTGGAGAGAGAGATAAAATCATGGTGGAGACTGCAGGAGGAGCATTTAGAGATTAGCGGCACTTGTGGAATCCCCCCCCCTTCTCCCTCCCTAATGACATCCTCGAGATAAAAATGCTCTCAGCTCCGTGCTCTGTTTCCCTATTTAGATCCACGAATGTGAGTCGAGATAACCTTTATCCTGTTATCAGCTCCCTTCCTCTACAACAGCCGATCTGCAGCCCTTGCAATTAACATCTATCAGAATCGGGGACTAGGAGAAGGCAAGTCTCCCACCTGGCCCTTGGGGAGGAAGGGAGGGCAAGAGAGGAGGAGCAAGAGAGGAACCCTCGCTGAGGACCGGGAGACCAGTGGGTAAAAGTCAGAGCAAGCAAAGGGCCTTGGAGCAGAGCTTCCAGGCTGAACTCCCGGGCCTGTTTAAATTATGCAAAACAAACAGATTGCTGGCTCATTGCATTATTTACTCTGCTTTTGCAATCACAGGGAGATGCTCTGTGAGACATTGAAGTCATGTTTCTCAAAGGATGGATGTTAGCTGGCACAGTTCTCATCTAAATTCCAACATGAGAACATTGGATCCAGGGTTGTAAAGACTGCGGAGAGAAGAATTGGGTGCACTCTTCCCACCTTGGATCAAATCTATGCTTCTGGGTGCCATATGAAAGCTGCAGAGATAGCGCAGGATAGTGCGCACCCCGGAAATGATCTCTTTCAGCTTCTGCCTTCTGGAAGAAGGTACAGGGTTAGAAAGACTAGGACTAGCCGCCTGAGAAACAGTTTCTATCCAATGCAAATTTGGTTTTAAACGCAGTGTAAGGTAGTCTCTATGGGAGTATATTGTATTTAAAAATGGGGTATCAGAGTTTTTAGGGGGCTAACCAGGCTGGGATAGCTGGGATAGCAGGCTTGTTGGTTTTTGAATGTCTGATGTAGATTTTTTCAATTCTGTTGGGACAAGGACAATAAAGATTATCGTATCATAACGTATTGACATGGGACAATCTAGTCCAGCATTACAGTGGCAGGATCCAAGCATAAGGGCCCTCTCCCCTCCTGCCATTTCCAGCAGCTGGTATTCAGAAGCACGACTGTCTCCAGTCCTGGAGGCAGAACACAGCCATCATAGTTAGCAGCCATCAATAGCCCTCTAGGTGGCTGGTCATCATTGGATCAGGCCATTGGTTCATCTAATCCAGCCTCCTGTTCTCGCAGTGGCCAATCAGGTACCCCAGTGGGAAGCTTGCAAGCAGGATCCAAGCACAAGGGTACACTTCCCTCATGCCGAAGGTGCCATCTCTGGGAGGAGGGGCTGGGTGCATTGGCACCCACAAAATTTCCACTGTGGATGCTGCACGCACTGCTCAGAGTGTCTGTGGCCATAGCAGGTGTTGGTGGAGCGCCATCTCTACAGGGTTGTGGGTATCTGTGCTCCTTTGTGTGGGATGTGATCCATGAGAGGCAGTCAAGTCCAACATTCCTTGTAATGCTGGAGAAGACATGCAAGGGAATGTTTGGTCCAGCCAGTCGAAATGTCCTGTTCCTCCTGGCTGGTGCATCCTTCCTTTTGCATGTGATAGAAGGTGGGTGTGACCTTACCTGTCCAGGTAACAAAAGGACAAGTCACACAGCACCTCTCTCTCTCTCTCTCTCTCTCTCTCTCTCTCTCTCTCTCTCTGACTTTCTTCTTTTTTTGACCAGCTTTTAGCTAGGACTGCTCTGCTAGCTCTCAGCTAGCAGAAGCACTGGGATTATTCCCCCATATGGAGTAGATCCACATGTACACATTTGTGACTAAGTCTGCCTTCAGGAATCCAACTGTGAACTGATGTGAGTAAACTTCTTTTATTGACTTATAAATAAGGTTGTCACATCTTTATTCTTTAAGAGGAATTCAAGGGAATATACCAGGAACTATACAATGCAATCTGAAACAGATTGAATTGTATAATAGTGAGAGGCCCACACGAGCCTGCAACCAGCTATC